AAGAACCCGGACCGAGTACTGATTGGAGGGGATGAAACCCCAGAGGGCCAGAGTGCTGTGCAGGCACTGTGTGCTGTATATGAGCACTGGGTTCCCAGAGAAAAGATCCTCACCACTAACACTTGGTCTTCAGAGCTTTCCAAACTGGTTGGTACATAGCGTTCACCTTTCTATTAAATTTAAAGCCAAGTACTTATTTACTGTAAACCAATATGCTGTGTACGTTACTTTCTTAACATTAATAAAAGATGATGCTTTTGAAGACTATCTTCTTATACTTTCAAACTAGGGAATAATTTTCAAAAGGTGAATCAAATATCAGTATATAAAATATTCTGGGAAATGCTAAAATTTTAATGAAGTTTAAGGTAAAATGGAAAGTACATTAAAATAATAATTTGTTTTTTATCACTAATTTCCTTCTTTCTGTTTTTTCTCATTTAAAACATGTTCCCTTACAAACCCATCCAGTGGCTCCTCAAATTTGAATTCATCAGTATCTTTTACATCTCCCTCAGTAATTTCCACCATCTTAGTGAAATATAACTTAAACGTATAAAATTGCAATTTTAGCTCATCATATCTTGCTTTTTCTTTCTTTCTTTTTTAAGGCAGCAAATGCTTTTCTTGCCCAGAGAATCAGCAGCATTAACTCTATAAGTGCCCTGTGTGAAGCAACAGGAGCTGATGTAGAAGAGGTAGCAACAGCCATTGGAATGGACCAGAGGATTGGAAATAAGTTTCTGAAAGCCAGTGTTGGTAAACTGAATTTTCTTTTTCTTAAAAAAAAGTTGGTTTGTTTAGATGGTTTGTCCTCAATTTTTAAAAAGTCTTAACTTAATACCCTTTAAAGAAATGATTCTATTGTACATGTGGCCTTCAGCCTACCAGGGGCTTCCTCAGTGGGGCAATAGTTACTTGATTGTTTAATAATTACTAATTAGGTGGGATAAACATACATCAGTATTTTAGGAGGAAAAATTAGCATTTAGTTAGAACATTTAGGAATAATAGATTTGGGAGATCATATGTGACCTAAGTAACAGATTATTTAAGCAAGTAGGAAAAAATTTCTGTTCTGGTTCCCTAGTGCTGCTCTGACAAGACTATACCACAAATGGGATGGCTTGAACAAACAGGCATTTATTCTCTTACAGTTTGGAAGCTTTAAGTCTGAGTTCAGAGTGCCAAGCTCTAGGGGCTAGGTGAAAGCCCCTCGACCTTGGACTTCAGCTCCACCTCCTGCTCC